TCAGCACAGGATATCCTTGACCTAGCAGGTAGCGGCCTGGTTTTTAGCTAATACACCGGTGGAGCCAGATTTGCTGACCCACAAGGAACCACCACTTATTATATCACCACAGGAACCATTCGCTTGTTATCTGGATGGAGCATGGAAAGAGGGTGACCCCACAAGCGGCATAAGGTGGACACTTCAGCTACAGGACGGCGCAATAGACTTACTAGGACTTCGCGGTATAAGGAGGAGCCTCTCCCCCCTACACGCAGAACTCAGCAGCCTTCTGTGGGCAATGACATGCCTACGGAAGAAACGCAGATATTGTAGCCTTTTCCTGACAAACTCGATGGAGTTAACCAATATGGTGAGGGACCCGGAGCAGTGGCCGAGGTTTCACGCAGAGTTGGAAGAGTTCAAGGAACTACGGGCGTCTTTTCCAGACTGTACCATAAGGTATTGTCCAAGGGAGAAGAATGTTTGGTTAGACCTGCTGGTCCGGCATGCCCGACAGAAGAATTTACTGTTTTCTTATTTTGGCACTTTAGTCCCTTACTGGTTCCCAGATACTGATGTATTTGGCTAATTGGCCGGAATGAAGTGTGTTCGTGACAAAAAAAAAATGTATTGATAATTTTAATCGTTTTAGATTTTTTTGAACTATATGTTACATATAAAAGAAGTTTTCTTATTCGTTTGTAATGATTTCTTCATCTTTTGGTACATAAGTTTTTTAACCTCATAAATTATAGATGAATAATATTATAATCACGCGGGTAAGAGTAAAGGGTTGGGTACTCGACGGGTCGATGATTTTTCTAGATACTCGTTCAATAGGGTACCCGGTTTTTTGAGGCGGATACGAATAATTTTTTTTCAGATACCCGTTCGGGTCGGATAATTGGTACTCCAAAATTTTAGGATGCCCGTCTCATGCCCAACCCAAGTTATATCCTTTATATGCTTCTATAGTAATTAATCTACATGCAATAATAGTGGTCTAAATTGTATCTATCGTAAACAATATTAGAAATCATGGGATTCCAAATAACAAAATAACTACATCAAAACATTTCCACAACTATCAAGAATGCGTACCTTTCGAAATTCTTGAACGAATTTCAAACATTCTATGTTACGTGGGTCCACATTTCCAATATTGCCCCTGCAAGTTCTCTTTAACGGCTGCAAAAGAAAAGTTTTATAACCGGTTGT